ATAGGGTTGGGGTAGATATACATACTGGTGCCAAAGGGAATTAAGGGGAAGGGCAGACATTCTTGCCTATCCTGCTGACCAGAAAATCCTTGACTGAGTACATTTATGGGGGAGATGGAAACTGCAGTTAGGTTCGGTATTAAGTCCCAGTTTGGTGACACAGTGACCCCATGTTGGGCCTGTGGTTTTCCTTTTTAATAATAATTAGGAGAAACTGAAATGCGTGTCTGTTGTAGATTAACAAAGGTTGTGTGAGTTGAACTCACTGATAATCAGTGCAGACTGAAATTAAGAATTTAGTTTTAAAATTATTTTCCTGTGTCTTTAACATCTATGAAACCACATTATGACTTACAATATTTTATTTATTTTTAGGAGAGCCAGGGAGAGGCTTTTATTTAGAGATTAAGTGAGAGGACAGAGCTCCCCGCTCACGCCAGGAGGGGACAAGAGAGCCCATGGTGGTGCGTTGCGTAGGGATTTTACAGGCGGCTGCCTGCTAAGCGGTCCCCAAATGTTTATCTTTGAAGAGACACTAAGTTTCTTATCTTGACTTAGAATATTTTAAATGGCAGCCTAGTTTTGTTGTCCCCAGGAAAAAAAACAGGGAGCTTCTCATAGTCTCTAGACATAATTTATAATATGAGGTTCTGTCTATAGTTTGACTGTAAGGTTGAGAAATTTATAAATATTTAGAAATATAGAAGATAAACCGATCAACAGGAAATCTGACGGGAAACTACGGTGGATGCTGCCAATTTAAGGGTCAGGTTGCTTTGAGAATAACAATATTATAATTGCACACATATATGCACATATATTCTTTTTAAAGAATATAAATTATATGGTCTTATATAGTCATATATGAGCAATCACATGAATACATAAGCAAGAAGGGCCATGTTGTATAATGTGTTATGAGAGAAGAAAGAAATTTCATTTACCTGGCAAAACAAAAACATTTATTTTCTTTGGAGAAAAAAGAAACTAAAAATTAAATATAAAGTGAATATATTAGCCCACTTTATTTTCTTTCAATGATAGTAGCAAAAATACACACTGATAGTAATGCTGATAGGAAAGAGGGAAAATAGAGATGATCTAGTTGTTGAAAAACTTCAGTTTCTTCAAGAACCTTTTTTAATAAAAGCTATTGTGTATGAACTCTTTTGGATTATTATGAGATCTCCTAATTTCATGACTAATAATTAATTACACACAAGGGAAAGATGAGGTCCAAAGTTTTCTGTGTTAAACAATTTTGGGAAATGCTTTGTTAAAGAGAAAGTTAAACAAGTTTCTTAGCTGTGGATTTCTCAAATACCTTTGATGAATCATTATTAATTATAGTGGTATTTCAAGTTTCTCAAACTTTTTGGATATACAAACATTTTTTGATTAATGCTATTGTGGAGGGGAAAGATGTTTCCTCTATCCTTCAAGGTTCTTCTGGGTGGTCTAAGAATTAAATTGACATGAGATAGATTGATAGGAGAGAATCCAGTTAATTTGTACATATGGAAGACTCATAGATATGGTACCCAAGAAGTGACCCAGGCAGGCAGTTTTATACTTTTTAGACACAGAAACAGTAAATTTGGGAGCAACTGACAGGACAATGAAAACTTATGTTCAATTAGTAGGTAATTCTAAACAGAAATTGGGCTGGGATAGTAAATTAGTAAAAGTAAAAAGTTTTGTTTATATAGGCTTCTTCAGTGCTGAATTCCGTTTCTGGAGATAAGGTTGTCTCAGCTGGTGCAGGGAGATTGCCTTGCACAGGAGAGATTTATTTCCTGCTTTCTGGAGGCAAGGGAGGGCCAGACTGTTCTTGCCTTGGCTGTTTCTTAATTAACTTTAAATAATAACAAATAACTAATATGTCACCGTAGTACATCTTGGGGTGGCCTGCCAGGCGCTCTGACACTACACCTACAGTATTACAGGATCTTCTAGAACATGATCATACATGCAATGATGGTGAGTTCAAGGGATTTGGGGGCAGAACCAGGAAAAAGATATGGCCACAAGGTGGCAGTAGGGCACAAGCTTTACCTGGGCAGTGCTTGGACCCATTTGGGTGTAGCAGTCAGTCCTGCTCAACAGGAGACCTTCCAAAGCAACAGTGTGTGTGGAGGGGCCCTACTCTCAAGAGGGGAGGCGGAGGGAACTCCCAGAGGACTGGATGGGGGTTAGGTATCATGATGCTGGTTGGCATCAAGATAGGGAGTCTCTGGGTCAGAGAGCCCCAAAGGGCAAGTGGGACTTGGGGTCTTTCATAGCCTGGGTTTTATCTTCTCTGTGGTAGTGGATGTTGAGACTCTAGATGGTTACTTAGGCTGTATTTAAAACCATGGGGTGAATAAAAATTTGAGTTTGGTGCTGGTGGGCTTTCAAACTAAAGTCCCAGTCCACTGAGAAGTGAACTGCACAGGGCCAATGTGTAGAGGCCATCTGTGCCTCATTTATGTGACAGAAACACAGCCAGTAAATGCTGGATCAAGTGATTGTCCATGTCAAAAATACTGTTATGTATCCCAAATATTCTGAACTTCTGTCATTTCAATGTCTACTTCTACCACCGTATTTTACAAACATGAAAACAGAAGTGATTTTGAAAGATATTGTGTTTTTGCTCCAAATGTTGAAGTTGGCTAATAATTCTCCTTTACTGTAAAGCAATGATTCTCAAAGTGTGGTTTGTAGATCTGACAGTCTGAGACCTTTTCAGGGTTGTGAGCTGAACTAGGCACTTTATTCATGAAACACCCCTTTTACTTAAAGTCATGACTATCAAACTAAGGTTAATCAACTTGGCTACCTGGCAGACTATTTATTGAAAAAGAACAAAAGGAGCCTGTCACTTCAAAGAAAACAAATGACAGATTTTGCTGCCAATGAGAAAATTTTAGCTTTCAAGTGAATTCTGGAAAATGTGTAGTTGCCACTGTGATCTTGAAAACTATCCAGTACCTTTCTGATGAGATCAGTGGTGATATTAATAAATGTGATTTGTGTGTGTGTGTGTGTGTGTGTGTGTGTGTGTGTGTGTGTGTGTGTGTGACATTTGGAAGATCTACACACATCGCAGAGACCCAGCATGTTCCAGACTGCCAGTGCATGATATTACAAAATCATGTATGGGTAAAAGATCCATTCAAAATGCAAGTAGACCAATAGATGTTAAGTGCATGTTTAGTTGCTAAATATTAACCAGAGCTAATTAAGTTAAAGTGGGCAAAGGGGGCTTTTATAACATGTTGTGTAGCCAAGTTATCCTGAGACAAATATAGCAGAACATAAAACAGAATGATTTCAGCTAAGGTTCCAGGGCTGGAGATAACACCTATCTTATTCCAAAATCAGATTCCAGATCGCCTATACCTGACATCAAATGTTTGGCTGAAAAGTGATTTTGGAATCTCTGGTGCTTCATCCACTCAAAGATACCTGTGATAAAGTGGGGAGGGACAGAGAGTTGGGATTTGAAGAAATGATTTATTTGAGGACAGCTGTGATTTGAGTTCTAGAAAGAGGGCTGGGCTGTTAGCTCTTCCCTCGAGCCCAGTGAGAGGGGACTCTACAGAGGTCAGTCGAAGAGTGTGATATGTCCCTTGGAGCTTGGGGGACACAGCACACATCTTCACTATCGGAGAATAATAAAAAAAAGTCAATGGCGTCTGAGATTTCATCTGGCAGTATGGAAAAATTAGTCCCCTCAGAGCAGATTTGTAGTTAAAACAGTGTGAGTCTCATTTGCTTGTTCAAAATATTGGCTAGATGCACACATAGCTCAGTGGGTGGGTTTACACACTTGTAGTTGGTATTCTGAAAAGATCCATTATCAAAGGTGTTGTTACTACATTTTGTATATCTCTTCTACCTTAAAATAATAGCCTACTTGTTCGAATATAATTTTCTACCTTGTTTGATGACCAGAGAGCTTCTGCCTGCCTTCTTAAAACCACCAGAATAAGGTATATGTGCACCAATCTCCTGCACTCAGCTCCATGCGTTTTACTGGTTCTAAATGATTTTCTTGGAATTATTATTAAGTTTTAGCAGTTAAAAACCATCCACATGACACAAAATTCAAAAGGCACAAAGTGTGTGTGGTGAAAGCTTTTTCCTACTCCTGTCTCTCCACGATTCTCCCCATTAACAGTGTCTAATGTCCTTTTTGGCTCCAGGGTTTTGAGAAATGTCTTTGCCGAAAATAAGTTAGTCTTTGTTACAGATGCCGCTGCTACCCAAATGCAATCTGTGGTAGGTTTGGTTTAGCTCGGCCTTCTGAACCTCAGAAAAAACAGCAGTTGTCAAAAGGACTTCCAAGGTAGTAACTCAACCTAAAGAATAGCTGTTTGGACTGTGATCAGAGAAATGAGCTGGAAGAACTAAGCATAAGTGCTGACTTCAAGTGAGATCCGGGTTGTACTGTGGTATGTGACCCGTGACAGGGGTCATGGGAGGGGGTGAGGCTCTGGTTTCGGGCCATGCTGATAGTATTACTGCTCTCACACAGGCCAGGTGGGGTCTGACTGTTTTGTTCTCCCTCAGTGAAGTTTCACATTAGCCTACGAGTCCAAATTGTTCTAAATCTCAATGGTGACAGCTTGATGTGCTTACAGTTAACTGGTGCCTTAGCCTGTTTGATTCCATGACCTTGAATCTCTGTATATAAATCATCATGATTAGTTTCAGGACACTACCACCATCATCATCCTCGTCAGAGTTCACATGTACTGAGCACCTACCATCAACGCAACCACCAGGATCATCATGACTGAATTCGCTGAGCCCTTAGTGTGTGCGGGGCACCGTATAAAGTGTTGTTCAATAATTATCATGACCAAGCTTGTGAGGCAGGTGTATTATTATTATTATACCCATTTCACAGATGACGAAACTTCATAAGGGAATGGGCTAAGTGATTTACTCAAGGCCACACAGTTATTAAAAGAGGAAGTGCGGATTTGAACCGCAGCCGTCTATATGCTAACCTGTTATCAGGGGGCATCCATGGAAGAGCAATATATGTATCTGGGGACAGCGAGTCAGGACAGCTTCTACAGCCTCATCAGTCAGATTCACACAATGTCCCATATGAATCTCCTATTTAAAAATAAAAGATAATCAAGAGAAAAAAACAGATCTATAAGAACAGTATGAAAAAGCTTGGGAAATACTCTGATACATAAAAGAACCAGATATCTACTTGCAAGAAAGCATTCTATAGAAAGGACCAATGTAAGTTTGCAATAACTTGTAAAATACAGAAGCTTTAAAAGTTTAATGCCTGACCATTTTATAAAGTATTTGGCAATATCCGTCACAACTGAAGAGGAGTGTGTGCCAGAGCCCAGCAGTTCCAGCTGCGGACGCCCACTGCACATAAGCTCTTGTATATGTGCCCAAGGAGACAAGTTATAAACACACCCACTCCAATATTATTTGTAACAGTAAAGACATAGAAAATGGGTAAAATAAATAGTGGTTTATTCATATAACGGAATAAAATAAACCAGTTAAAATGAAAAAGATTTAATTGTATTAATAGACAAATCTCAAACATAATGTTAGTTCAGATACCTTGGAAAAGAGTCTGGCAGTATCTTATAAAGCTGAACGTGCACTTACTGTGTGACCCAGCAGCTCCATTCCTAGTTGTTTACCCAAGAAAAATAAAAACATATATCTACAGAAAGACTTATATGCAAATTTCCATAGCAGTACTCATAATAGTCCAAAATTGGAATAACCCAAAAGTCCATCAAATGGTGAATGTATGAACAAACTGTCTTATCCACACTATGGAATACTACTCAGCAAAAAAAAAAACCCCAAAATAAAAAAGAATGAAACATTGACACATGTAACAACATGGACGATTCTCAAAAACATTATGCTAAGTGAAAGAATTTAAAAAAAGTAATAAACTCTATATATTGCATGATGCCATTTATAGATAATTATAGATAAGACAGAACTATAATGACAGATCAGTGGTTGCCTGGAGGGGGTGTGTAGAGGCACAGCAGGGGATTGATTGCAAAAAGATGGGAGAAAACTTTTTAGGATGATGGAATGTTCTACACTCAATTATGGTGGTGGTTATAAGGCTGTGTAATAATTACCAAAATTCATCAAACTATACACTTAAAATGGGTGAATTTTATTGTATGTATACCTTAATAAAGCTTGAAAAATTAAAAATAAATCTTGAATAAAAAGCAAGTTATAAAAGAACAAATCAATTATGGAACTATCATTTAAAATCTAAAACACAAAGCAATGCATCTTGTGTATGGATTTATATCAATATCCATCTATAGATAAAGTATATAAATATGCAAGAAAAGATATACAGGCATCTTTAGAATAGTGGTTAGTTCTGAAGGAAGAAAGGGGATAGCTTTAGATGTAACACATTTTTTTTAAAAAGAACTGAAGTAAATATAGAAAATGTTAAAATTCAAGTGGTTGATCCACAGGTCTCTGTTGTATTACTTTCTATACTTTTCCATGTTTGAAAAATTATACATCGTTTGTTTAATGTTTTAATTGGGAACCCTTCTGCATTGCTGGTGGGAATGTAAAATGGTACAGGTGCTGTGAAAAAAGGATGGGAGTTCCTCGAAAAATTAAACATAGAATTACCATATGATCTAGCTATTTCCTTTCTAGATATATACCCAAAAGAATTGAAAGCAGAGACTCAAACAGATATTTGTGCACCTATATTCATAGTTGCAATATTCATAATAGCCAAAAGGTGTAAACAAGTATCAATGGATGAATGGATAAACAAAATTGTGTGTATATATATATATATATGTATGTACATATGTGTGTGTGTGTATACACACACATACATAATGGAGTATTGTTCAGTCTTCAAGGGAATGAAATTCTGATACATGCTATAATAGAGATGAACCTTAAAAACATTAAGTGAAATAAGTCAGACACAACAGGACAAATATGTGTGATATTATCTAGATATTATCAATTATATCTAGAATAGGGAAGTTCTCAAAGACAAAGTAGAATAGAGGTTGTAGAGGATGGAGGGGAAGGGGTCATGGGGAGTTACTGTTTAATGGGTAAGGAGTTTCAATTTGGGATGATGAAAAAGTTCTAGAGATGGATAGTGGTGATGGCCATACAACAGTGTGAATGTATTTAATTCCACTGAATTGTACACTTAAAATGGTTGAAATGGTTAATTTTATGTGTATTTGGCCACAATAACATTTTTTAAAGAATTCTGGAAGTAAGATTTATCTAACAGCAGATATGTATGTATATTTATGGTAGTAGTACTTCTTTTCTCCTGAGAAGTTGATATTAAGTTGTTGTACATATTATAACCAATCACATCTTATAAAAAAAGGAAACCTGAGTATACTGTTAACTCACAAAAAATTGATGCAAAAAGCATCCTATGTTATAAACTGGCCAAAGCAGCCTATGATGCACATTAGTAAAGGCTAAAAACAAATACAGTTTGAGAACAGATAGAAGGGAACAGTGTTCAACTCAGGCACTATTTAAGATATATTAAATAAAGGCACTAAGAAAAAGGTTCAATGCTGGCAAACTAGTGTCCCAGCAAAACTGAATTCACAACATCACCTTTATGGGAAACAATTTTACAATATGAATTTAGGACCATTAAGGTAGTATTTATACCTGTTGGTTACTTGTTCCATTTTTGGGAGTTCATTTTGATGATGGAAGAAAAAAGTCATCTGCCCCAGCCACGATTATTTCTAATAGCTAAAAACTGGGAATAATCTGAATTACCAACAATAGAAAAATGATTAAAGGGAAGAATGATACACCATTATGGGCTCATTTTGTCGTCTGATATACCAGTGTCTAGAATATAGCAGGTACTTAAATAAATGTTGAATAAGTAAAATTTTACAGAAAATTAAATGTTTAATCATGAAGATTACAGGAACTTATAAAATGACTGTAATACAAAGTTAAGAACATGTTAACATTTATTAAAGCACTACCATATATCTGGAACTGCGGTAAAACCTGGGTTTTTCTGACTTCTCCAGTGATAGTGACCTCCCAGTACTAGGAAGCCTTCCGTGAAGAGGGTTCGATGGTGGTTGAAGTCCTTCTGATGTTCTAGCTTTTAGGCAGAAGGTGGGGACGGAGGAGCATGTTTCAGACAAAGCCTTTTTTTTTTTGCATTTATTGGTCCTCAAACATGTTTAAGCTCAAAATAATTTTTATGCCACAGTGATATATTCTGGATCCCTTCATGAATATCAAGAAAAATACAATGGCTAGAGAATAAGTGGTCCTGTAGAATTAAGTCAGACATGAAAATTCTAAAGAATATCATTTTATAATGATAAACTTTCATCATCTCCACCCATAATAAGGCTATCCTTAAATGTGTTAGAAGCTAAAATTTCTGGAAAACAAATACTTTCATTGGGAGGAACATAGGTTTTTATTTTAAAGTATGCCTTATTGCTTAATTTTACCAGTTTTTCTTTACTCTCGGAATAAAGAGGTAGAAGCCAAGAAAGGAAAAACAAAAAAATATTCCACGGAAATACCTAACTGATAGTGAGGCATTGGTTGTCTGCTACATTTAAAAAATAATTTCTGAGGAGAATATAAAAATTTAGTTAGTATCATTTTATAGATATTTTTTAATTACCTCTAGTTTCTTGGCACAGGGTCCACTCACAAGTGCAGCCACACCGTTATCGGACACCTAGGCAGAGGGGAGAAGCGGGAGAGCGCATAAATGGAGATGATGAAAGTAGAATTTTCTAAAAATTAACATTTAGACATATTGTTAATTATTGCCTCCCATTCAGCAGATACATATTTTAGCCACACACATATCTTCCACCCTTACTTAAAAATAATTGAGGGGAATGTGCCAGATTACATCACAATTATTGAATCACCAAGGCATGAAGTGGTCAACGATTTCAACAACAGAAATAATCACGTTCTCCTGATAAGTCAGGGCCATACGTTGGGAAAACACAAGAAGGTCTCTATATTTGAGGTCTATGTTTCATTTACCTGAGTAGCTGAAAAATCAACACACTGCAAAAATGGGCAGTTTTCCCCTAATGCATGTAAGGACACATCGGTAATGCCTAAGCAGCCCCCTAAATCAATGATCTTTAGCAGCTGGCAGTTGAGTGCAAGAGCCAGGACGCCTTCATCCGTGAGACGGCAGCACCGTTTCAGAGAGGCTTCGCGCAGGTGTGAGCAAGACGAAGCCACAGCTTTTACTCCTGAGGGAAGACACAGGTATGCAGCAATGAGCTACGCGTGTATCTATATGAGAAGGGTGACTTTCATTTTAGCATCACCAGTACTGATACATTCAATTGGTTGTTAGCCTTTTCAAAGCCCATCTGTGAGCATATACTTATATTCCAGTGATGCTGTCATTACTTAAAACCTTTTTTTAATGTTTCAGGAACTCTCTACACAGCATGTAGCATATTACTCAGAATATCTGCGAGTACTGGTGAGCTTTCATTGTTTACAAGTAGATTTGTTTTAGGAAATAGCCAAAAGTCATTCAGAACCAAATTAGGTAATTTACAGTAGATGATTCCCCTTTTTGTTAAAAAAAGTTTTTTTTGAGGTGTCAAGTTAATTTCCTTGTGGACTCTGAAGGGAAATCAAAGTTAAATTGTCCCAGTGTCTCATGTAATGTTCTCATGCTTATCCTTAGGAATCACACCTGTGTCTATGCATTCTTTTCCCTCTCACCCCCCTTTTGACTGCCCTTTTCTGCTACCATGCTTCTTCTCTGTTAGCCTGGACCAATCTTACATTTTACTGAGGGTCAATAGAAAGTCCTTAAATCCACTTAAACTGATGTAAGTGCATACTGGAGACTGATACAGGATAAGTGCCACATTAATAAAGGAGTACTTCAGGAATCTTGGGCCCTGCAGTCATGGACAAACATCACAGTACTGCTAAAAGATATCCCTGGGGACTACATCAAGCTAAAAAGCTTCTATACAGCAAAGGACACCATCAACAGAACAAAAAGGCATCCTATAGTATGGCAGAATATATTTGTAACTGACATATCTGACAAGGAGTTAACATCCAAAATATATAAAGAGCTCATATGCCTCAACACCCAAAAAGCAAATAACCTGATTAAAAAATGGGTGGAGGATATGACCAGACAATTCTCCAAAGAAGAAATTCAGATGGCCAACAGGCACATGAAAAGATGCTCCATATTGCTAATGATCAGGGGAATGCAAATAAAAACCACAATGAGATATCACCTCACACCAGTAAGGATGGCCAGCATTAAAAAGACAAACAACAACAAATGCTGGTGAGGTTGTGGAGAAAGGGGAACCCTCCTACACTGCTGGTGGGAATGTAAATTAGTTCAACCATTCTGGAAAGCAGTACGGAGGTTCCTCAAAAAACTCAAAACAGAAAACCATTTGACCCAGGAATCCCACTCCTAGGAATTTACCCAAAGAATACAAGTTATCAGATTCAAAAAGACATATAGACCCCTATATTTATCGCAGCCTTTTTACAATAGCTAAGATATGGAAGCAATCTAAGTGTCCATCAGTAGATGAATGGATAAAGAAGATGTGGTACATATACACAATGGAATATTATTCAGTCATAAGAAAACAAATCCTACCATTTGCAACAACATGGATGGAGCTGGAGGACATTATGCTCAGTGAAATAAGCCAGATGGAGAAGGACAAGTACCAAATGATTTCCCCTCATTTGTGGAGTATAACAACAAAGCAAAACTGAAGGAATAAAACAGTAGCAGACTCACAGACTCCAAGAAGGGACTAGCAGTTACCAAAGGGGAGGGGTGGGGAAGGGTGGGTGGGGAGGGAGGGAGAAGGGGATTGAGGGGTATTATGATTGGCACACATGGGGGGATCATGGGGAAGACAGTGTAGCACAGAGAAGACAAGTAATGACTCTGTGGCATCTTACTACACTGATAGACAGTGACTGCAGTCGGTATGGGGGGACTCAATAATATGGGTAAATGTAGTAACCACATTGTTTTTCATGTGAAACCTTCATAGGAGTATATATCATTGATACCTTAATAAAAAAATAAATAAAAAAAAAAAAAGCTTATATAAATGTTAAAAAAAAAAAAGATACCCCCTGGGCAAACTCTACAAAAGGGAAGGTGGTAGGTTCATGTGCAGGTCATTTTTATTGTTTTTCATATCTTAAGGAAGAGCTTTCATTTATCAATATCCAGCATGAGTTCTTTTTAGTAAGTCATTATTTGTGTAAATATTTAAAAACATATGCTTCTTTGCATTATGAATAGCCTAACTTGCTAACCAAGATGGTTGCAAAATATAGCCATTACCCACAAAATTTTCTGGAAACCTAGTCAGCCAAATAAGTCCCTCTTTCTTACATTGAGAAAAAGATAAAAACCCTATATTGAAAAAAAATGGTAAAAGTCCACTAATTCATATAATAGTGATACTGAAAAATGCAGTCTTCTGGCTGAAAGTCTTCTGCATAAAAAATGTATTTTACAGACTGATAGGAAAGTGCATGGTAGGTTTAATCTGATAGTGATTTAACTTTCTCTTGTAATATTACACCAGGAAAGCCTTAACAAAGTATGAACTGGTCATTTCTTGTTCCATACCAGGTAAAATATCAAAATATAGAGGTATCCACCCATGTTTATTTCAAATATGTTTAAAACACAATGTAGTGACTTTGTGTATTTCTTCACTTTCAGCACTGGTTATAAACATGAATTCTAATCTGGATTCTTTATCTTACTTTACATATTTTTGTTGGTAAATATTATTTTAATTTGAATTCTTTATCTTATTTTAAATATTTCTGTTGATAGAGTTTCTATTTATTTCACATCTTCATATTCTCTTTGACATATCTTCCCCTTCTTTGCTCCAAAATGACCAGATGGTGAATAGTAATCTACCAATTTGCTCAATGTTAATACATACCTTTTGAAGTTATGGACATTCTGTTTTCTTTTGAGGAACTTAAATTTAATTTCTTCAGTCTTCTGCAGTTACACAGGTGCAGGAGAGCAGTGTCTGAAATATCACAGCTGCGTAGATCTAGAGTTTGGACTTCAGGGTGTAAAATCTGTAATAAATGCATGATTTTGAAAAAGTAATTTTTCCTATAAATATAAATGTTTATTCCACATTCCGTGTTTTGGTAGTCATAACAGACAAATGGTAAAGAATACAGAAACATATCTGTGTGGAGAGAGATATATAAGTGAGCCTACTTCCAGTTGGAGGTGCAGCTTCTAGGGCTCCAGAAGACCTACTGGGACGCACAGCATTGCTGAATGGCTGGTAGGAAGTGAGGACCCATTAGACCTGAGAAGCAGAACCAGTGTGGCGGGTGATGCTTGCCCTCTGCCAGTAGGCTCCTGACTATTATAGCACAGACAAAACCAGTATTATTTAATAGTTATCTGAGGACAACAAGTATCAGATTAGTTTCAAAGCATTGTGAGATCTCTGCCTTGGGTATTTTTCTTTTCTTTCACTTAATTTTTTTCCAAAATAGAAATGGCTTTATTTTTCTGAATATAAAAATAAAGTATTATTATTGTAACATATTCAGGCAATATAAAAATTATAAAAGTGGTAGTAACTATGTTTATTGGGCACTTACCAGGAACAGTACGGAATGTGTTATATACATTATGTCATTTAAATATTCACACACACACACACACACCCCCACCCCACCCCCACCTGAAAGACTGGTTGCCATTTTACAAGTGAGGGAATTGAGGCACCCAGAGCTTAAGTAATAACACAAAGAACACAGCCAAAAAAGGAACAGTTAGAATTGGAAACCAGGTCTTACTCTGAGGGCCATGCTTTTAAACAATGTAACTAAAATTAGCCAATACCAATGCCCAGAAAAAACATAACACTAATTTTGATGTTTTTTGAGTTTTTAAAAAAGATTTTGAAGAAAAAAGGGATCAGAATATATATTTGTAAGATGAGTAAAATAATTTATTGTGGTTGCATGCTATTCCATTTTATGCATATACCATATTTTATGAAATGAATCCTATACTGGCAAATACTTAAATTGCACATTTAGGCTGATTTAGGAGGCGGTATAGTATAGTGATAGGAACAGGTACTCTAGAGGCAGACTGCTGTTTGAGTTTGAACTCTATGAGAGTGCTCAAGGTGTGTGTGTGTGTGTGTGTGTCACTATCTTCATTAAAACCGGGTGTGTGTGTGTGTGTGTGTGTGTGTGTGTGTGTCACTATCTTCATTAAAACCGGGCTTATAATTTTGTGAGAAATAAAGATGCCTATATATAGCTGTCAGCTGTTTTTATTATTATAAGTGGTATTATGATGAGCATACTTGTGTGCTTTCCTGATTATTACCTCCTCAAGATTAAGACCAGAGTAAGTGGTAATTATGTGAGGTGATGGAGATGTTAACTAGCCCTATTGTGGTAACCATTTTCCAATCTGTAAGTGCATCAAATCATCATGTGTTGTACACTTTAAACTTACACGATGTCATATTGTCAATTATATGTCGATAACACTGGGGAAAAAAATACCAGAAATTAAAATTGTTGAGTCAGTGGTAAGCAAATCTGTAGGACTTTGGATAGTCAATGCCAAACTGTCCTCCTAAAAAGTTTTTTTTTTTTTATCAACTTACACTCTCACCAACATGATAAAAGCGACAGTTTCCCACATTATTACCAACACTGGGTATCATTATTTTTTAAGTCTCTGCTAAGCTGAAAGACAAACTGTGATTTTTATTACTAATGAGGTTAAATATCCTTTTGTATGTTACTGGTGATTTATATGTTTTTCCTTTGAGTATTCTTGATTACTCTGTTCTAGTATTTGTTTTGATTTTTTTATTGGTTTGTAGGGATTCTTTAAATTTGCAAGATAACAAACCCAGATAATCTCATACATATTGCAAAGACTTTTTTCTAGTTTGTTACTTGACTTTGTTTCTTTTTTTAATTCTTGCCATAACAATGTTCATATTGTTATGTAATCAAATCCATCAATGTTTTTCTTTTTGGTCTCTGACTGTGGTGTCATGTTTAAAAGGCCTTCTCCATTCAGAGATTGTAACAAGATTTAGGAATTACTTCAAAAACAGCTAAACAGAGATATGTGCAACTTCACAACAGATGTTAGATCTGGCTTTTGGAATAATTTTATAAGCAGGACTGTTGTAAGGATGAGGACTGGAGGGAGAGTTTAAGGAAAATCATACTTTTGTCTCTTCTGTATCATTCATCTGCTTGGACCTTTTCTATTCAGGTAGAATCAGGTTTAAAAAAATATTAAGGACTTCCACACAAAAAAATTTAAGTCACTGTAATATAGGCTAAAAGGATAGAACAGAGTGAGGTGGTGAGGAAGCAGAGGAAAATCGCCAGTTTTCCATAGTGTCGTGTTGCATCTGTGGTGTAGGGACGGCCTCCGTCATCCCCCACATCTGAATGCAGAGTAAGGAAGCGCCAGCTTGAGAACAACCGGTGCCGTCCTTGGAAGTTATCTGCCCACAAAAACATATCTTGTCCTCGAAAACAAGCCAAGAGGCCTCACACTGAAAACAGGGAGACCTTGGGGACATGTGAAAACACCGCCCCTGCTTACTGGGCAGATCCTAAGAAATCAGCAAGATGTTCTGGCCTGTTCCCCCTGAGTAGAGAAAGATACGAATAGCATTTGGCTGAGGTCCGAGAAAGGCAGTATAAAAATAAAGGAGCTGTGCCCCGTCGGGGCCGCTGCAGCCATTGTCTGTCTGTCTTTGTGGTGTTGTCTGTGTCTTCTGTTCACTCCCATCTCACCCGGGCGAGCGACACGCATGTGGACCACACACACATCACACACATCCACAGAACCAAAGATAAGGATCTGGAGCTATTATTCTGCGTCCACATAGCCAAGCAGACTGTATGACTAACATGCCTAGGTTCAAATGCAAGCTACCACGAAGAAAATAAAGCATTAAAGGTACAGCAGGTTAGTGGAGAAGATGCACTACGGAGACAGTGGAGCACAATGACAGTGTGAAGCCCCTGGGATAGTCACAGCGGCAGCGCTGGCAAAGGAGTCCACTCCCTTTAGATCACAGGCTTCGGGCAGAATGGGCGGTACCGCCAGCAAGCAGGAGTTAGAACTGGAGTCTCTGTAAAAGATCGGAGTCTCTGCAGACAGTGACAGTGGCTGCAAACCCATTCTACAGTCATGAGAAATGAAGCGCGTGTCAGTGGCAAAGCTAGGGTTGTAATTCAGGTTGGAGGCCCTGATTCCGCCTTACGGAATAGGCACGCAGCTTTGTTGCAGGGAAGGGGTGTGAAATTACGTTAGCAGGGGCGACATGGCCAGAAGAACGAGGGCAGTTCAGAGAGTGATTTTTTAACTGCTGATTTATATCCACGGATGGCTAAAATCTTAGTGGGCCGTGACCAACATTTTAAAAATGAAGTAAGGCATAAAAAAATAGAGAACATCCAAGTGTATTGTACATAGTATTGTTACACATAAGTGTGATTTGTGTATAGAGTCACAGTGTAACATATTTCTTACTGTGGGCCTTTTTTTGCCATTTGTTTATTCACTCTACATTTTTATTTTTTCTAGCTTTACTGGTTTATAATTGATCACAAAGTTGAAAATTTTTTGAAAACATGGAGCTCAAGGGTGTGGTATGTGAAGACAGGGGAAGTGACTAAAAGGCTAGTGGCAGAAATCTTTTTAGGGAACTATTAACACATGAACATGTTGGCTTCCTGGAGGAAAAGGAACCCCAATGCTTCATTTTATTTTAAAATTATTACAAAGCCTAATACATATCATTGCTCCAAAATCTGAAACCATATCTAAACAGTAAAATATAATATGCTTGTTTTACAGTTGTACATACTCTTACCTCACTTATATTTGCATCTGTTATCTGGCCTTGCACGCTCATTATTTTAATTAGTCTGTCTTTTATGTTGGGAGGTAAAGGTTTAATGTCAGCGATGTATCTGGAAATATTCTTCATGAAGCACCAAAGGCATCTGAAATACAAACACAAACACAATATAAATGACACTGTGCCAATACCGATTCCTAAGGTTTGATGCTGTTCGTTAGTAGTCCTTTCAGCAACAGGGTACATTTTATATTAATATTTACGACTTAAGCTTGGGAGGATTCAAAAGCCTGGTCTTTGCTCAGTTATGGACGAGATATTCTTCCTCTGCATTTTCTTCTAGGTCAGTCTTTCTAATCCCTAAGACACAGTTAGCACTGAGATTTCAATTCTTTCATTTCTACTAGTTTTTGCTACTTTATAGGCATTGCTGTTTTATGATGAATATTTTTAAAAATACAGAAAAATAGGATGATCTAAAACCCAGGTGCACAAAAACTAGAATTTTGGAACTTACTGTTTTATCATATCGTGTCAGGTACCTTTCTTAAGACATAAAATATTTCAGATAAAATTAAAGCCTCCTTCGTACACCTACTCAGGTTTATTGTCTTTATATCCCTTTGCAGAGGCAAATACTACCATGAAGTTTTAAAATAGTTTCTGTCCATGATTTTATATTTTAATGCTAAAAAGTATATATCCATAAATAACATATATAGTATTGCTTTTGTATTTATAAAATGTAATGTTCTGTTTCCTACCATGACTGAATTTGTCAGTTGTCCTTGTAATTTTGACAGTCTTTCTATGGTGTTGCAAATTCATGACCATTACATCCTCTTGTGGAATATTCTTTTTATCATTAAGTAATGCCTTTCTCTATCCATATTAATGTTTTTCACTTCAGAATTTAGTCTGGTTTTAATACTGCTTTGGCTTCTTTTGTTAATGTTTTTGAGATTCATCTGCATTGTTTCAGATAGCTATAGTTGAACTCATTTTCATTTTCAGTTCATTTATACCCATTTTCACTGCTGCACAATATTCTATTGTTCAAGTAATTTAGTTAACAACTGCTGATGTATAGTTGGGTGGCTTATAATTTTTTGCTATTACAAATAATATTAATATGAATACTCCCAGACATGTCTTTTGGTGCCCCTGTGCTTGTGTTTCAGTTGTGTGTACATCTAGGAGGGGAACTGATGGCTCATGGGGAATGCTAATGTTTAGCTTAATGCCAAATAGTTTTCCAGAGCAGTTGTAGTGACTGACAATCCTACCATCAGTCACTGAGCATTAATGGAATCCATATCCTTGCTAATACTTGACACTGTCAGTCTTTTTAATTTTAGCCAATTTATTGAGTATATAATAGAAATCAATGTGACTTTATTACAACCCCTGATTATTGATTAACTGAGCATATTGTCATTTCTTTATTGTCCATGTGGATAGTCTCTTGCGGAGTACCTACTCAAGTATCTTGCCCAGTTTTCTTTTGGGTTGACTGTTTTACTTAGTGATTTGTAGGGGTTCCTCTTATATTCTAGACGTGAGCCTTCTAGTGGTTATATATGTTGCAAATATATCCTCCCATTCTGTGGACTGCCTTTTCATTCTCTTAATCACGTTTTGTGCTGAAGAGAGGTAAATTCCAATGCAGTCCAATATATCTGTGTTTTTTTTATGGCAGGAATTTTTTTGGGTATCCCCTTTCTGAACTCTTTTACTGTCCTAAGCTCATGAAGATATTCTCCTATACTTTCACTTTTTGACTTAAAAACCACCTGGAAATGATTTTTTCCAATTGCCAAAACCTGTGCCACGTCTGAGAGTTTAGCCTACATACAAGCTTAGAAGTTAGCCTTTTGCCATTTCATGGGAGCGGGCAGAAGACGTGAGTTTCATGGGTCAAAGCAAAAGGACTCTGTCACTCACGACTAGAGGAGCAGGCGGAGCTTCGTCCCCCATGCCCTCTAAGTCCTGTGGTGTAATCAGATGGGTGATTGTCTACACAGCGGGTTGTATAACAGGACAGGAACACTGAGCTTCAGGGATTCACAACTTTTATAGCAAACTGAAGGAAACCTCTTTTTCTTGGAAGAAGACAGTACTTGCTGCAAATGCAACCTTGAGAAATGGTCTAGGTAAAGAGTAATTTAGGCCTTATATTCATGGTTCATGGCAGATCGCCTCTCCCAACATCCACTCCAATATGTTCCTGGCTAAACTCTAATATAAGCCGGCCGCTCTGTCAGTTACTTTAATTAATTTGAACAACAGAAGCTGAAACCGAATCTATCCATCTCTTAAAGCATTTAATTAAGGTTACTATGAATAGTAACCCAATTGGCAGGATAATGCCAACCTGCATAGTGACCTCAACAGTGCCCCCAGGGTCCAGACTCAGCTAACTGTAAGTATCAGGGATGGGGACCAACAGGTCTTATTTTAGACAGGAGGTAGTCCAGTGTGTTATCCATTATGAAATAAGCAAGGGGATTTAATTATTATTTAAATGACTACACTTTTATTTCCTAGGGCTTCTAATTTTTAAAAAATCCATTATTTTATTTGTATTTGTCCCTTAAGGATAACTTGTTAGTCTTTTAACATTTCCAATACATTTGTTTTAAAAGACCTTCAAATTGTTCTATTATCTGTAGTTCCTAAAAGTGGAAATTCTCCTATTCTCTGTTGAGTCTCTTTCATGCTGTTTTTGTCCTTAACCTGCTTTGTAAGTTTTGACCCTGTTAGCTCCTCTCTTGTACAAGTAGTACAACAGGCCTCTGTTCCTGAAGGTATCCTTGTAGTGAAGGTTGAGTTTTCCTCTGCTTAAGGACTCTGTGTTTATCCGGATGGTCTACAGTTACAAAATACCACAGATTGGGTACTTATAAGCATCAGAAATTTCTCACAGCTCTGGATGATGGGAGTCTGGTATCAGGGTGCCAGCAGCTGGGTAAGGGCCCTCTTCCAGGTTCGCGGCTGGTCCTTCTCTGTTTGTCCTCACATGGTGGAAGGGGCTAGGCATTTCTCTGGACCCTCTTTTATAAAGGCATTAATCCTATTCATGAGGGCTTCACTCTCATGATCTGAACACCCCCAAAGGCCCTACCTACTAATACCATCACTTTTAGGGTTTAGGATTTCAAAATATGAATTTGGGGGGTACAAGAACATTCAGACCACAGCACATACCATAATGACAAATTCCAAAACATAATGTCATTTATTCATCTCTTAGACTCTGCAACATATTCACAGTTAAATTCAAACCATACAACTGCATAATAAAGGCATGACATACCAGTTTTTCAACAGGAATTCTGCTTTTGGCTGGGACTTCATAATTCTTGCCACTGGATATAGGCTGCTCAGGGAAGGGTGTGACCTCAAGCTAGGTGACTTGCAGCAGAGACAGATTCTGAAAAAGCTGAGTAATGGAAGCTATCTGCCAACCCCTCTCCCCACAGGTGGGCAGCCAGTACTTCCCTGAAGGGTGATCTGGGTGGTACATCTCCATGGCTAACACTCCCATTTTCTACAACTGTGTATCATTTAGGTGTTCATACATTTTAAGTAACTCATACTGACATGGACTATAAGGGATGAGAGGGGTAACAAGTATGGATTCTCCTTGTTCTCATTCTCTTCTACTCTGTTATGGTATTGAAATCAGATACTCCATCAACAGAAATTTCTATCACTTATTCTAAAAGTGAAAAGCTTCACTAAACCCAATTATTTTTGGTAACTGCTTTATTAAGACATAATCGATATAACATTAGTGGTTTTTAGTGTATCCAGAGTTGTGCATCCAACACTAATTTCAGAACATTCTCATTATTCTAAAAAGAAATCTTAACACCCATTTGCAGTCCCCTGCCAATCCTTCCTATCTCCCACAGCTTAGGGAACCACCTATCTACTCTCCCTAGATTAGCCTATGCTGTACATTCATATAAATGGAATCACATAATATGTGGTCTTTTGTTACTGGCTTCTTTCACTTAGCATAATGTATTCAAGTTCATCCATATGGTAACATGTATGGGTACTTAATTACTTTTATTCCATTGTACGGATGTACCATATTTTGTTTACTCATACATCAGTTTATGGACATTTGAGTTGTTTCCACCTTTTAGCTATTAAGGGTAATGCTGCTATAAACATTTGTGTATAATTCTTGGGACATATGTTTTCATTTCTGTTGGGGACCCAATTGCTGGGTCACATAACTGTTGGGTCATATGGCAAATCTACGTATAACCCTAGAGGAACTGCCACATTGTATTCCAAAGTGGTTGCATTTTATATACCCACTAGCAGTATATGAAGGTTCCAATTTCTCAACACCTTGTCAGCAAGTGACATAATCTGTCTTGGATTATACTCGTCCTTGGGACTGTCAAGTAGTATCTCATTATGGTTTTGATTTCACTAATGGCTAGTAATGTTGAGCAACTTGCATGTGCTTGGTGGCCATTTGTGTATCTTTATACAACTATCTTTTCAGAACCTTTTCCTATTTTTAACTTGGGTTTTGCTAGGATTCTTGAGTTTTTCTTTCAGTGCTTTGACATGTCCTCCTACTGTCTCTGTTTCTGGTGAGAAGTCCATTGTTAATTTTATTGGGGTTCCTTTATACAAGAGTAATTTTTCTCTTGCTGCTTTAAAGATTTTCTTTTAGTCTTTTACTTAAGTATTTTTACTGTTTCTGTATGTTTGGTTATGTTTATAATTCTCTAAATTCATTGAGTTAATTTTAATTCATTGAGTTTTAATCCACTGATGTATAGATTAATGTTCCTCATTAAATCTGGCTTTTAGCTGATTTTTTCTTTAAAATAATTTGCTCTGCTCCATTTTCCTTTCATTCTGGTACTCCCATTACCAGAATGTATGCATAGTTGAGGTCAGCAGTGCAGGTTGGCCTCGTCCTGCTGCTTAGAGCACTAGTAATAACCTTGTTTAAATGCTGTATGACAGAAATTAAATACATTTTTTCTTAGCCTCTTGGAATAAATTAATCATTGAGGCTGAAGGAGTGTCATACTCATGTGGTAATTTGTCAGAAGCCAAAGTGGTAGAACCAAGGGTGGAATGTTGGTGAAGGCAGTCCTCTAGAGTTTT